TGCAAACCACTTTAGCATTATACTGGATGGAACCCATTAATAACATCAGTAGTACAGCAAATACATATTCCCCACCAGAATATTTGTCCTTCAAAGTTATTCTCCACTGGATTCTAACATTAATGCTTAAAAATGTTCTGACAGGGGCACATAGTTTTAGTATGCTGGAAAAAAACTTTACTGGCAACTAGGGCAACCCATGGTCTCTAAAGACCAATGATTTTCATAGTGTTAAACTTGCCTTAAAAAAATAATACATTCTTAATTCAGTCAGGTTGGAAGCTAGTTTTCCCCAGTTTTTAAATGAATTCAATAATTTCCCAAAACTCTACATGGCTTCAAATTTTAAGACAATGGTCTTAAGACTAGCAGTATTTATGTTCCTTCCAGCTGCATTGCAACAGCAAAAACAACGCTTCTAAAACTGATGCTCTGTGTCACTGCGGGGAGCACTGCCAACTAATTTAACTTACAGCATACTGCAGCATAACAGGAGTGTGAGTAAACAGCTATTGTTATACTAAATCTCACACCACTGTGGAGCTTTCAACGTCATGGAAATGTTCAGAATGAACCTGAAGATAATAAAGAGTGGCACTAGGGATAGTAAAGGGTGGCAATGTGGAGCGTAATCAATGGAAAACCAACTTAAACATATTGGACTAAGTATTCATATTTCTGAGAGAACATACATCAAAATATGTCACCCCTTCACTCCTGGAGAGTAGAAGCTGTATTGAGTGGGCAAAATGTCAAGTCCAACAGAACTGCATGCTGTATGACAGACAATGCAACAGTACTGGATAATTTGGGGAGGACAAGTTTGCAGGGCTATGGAGAGAGAACGGGGGAGCGGGATTGATTTGGATAGCTCTTTTTAAAGAGCCAGCACAGACACGATGGCTGAATGGTCTCCTTCTGTGCTGTATAATTCTACGTTTCAGTGAATACACCAACTCCAAAACTATTTACACAACAGGCTGCACAATGAGCTAAGCAACAGACGGTGTAATAAACTGCAAACAATATTACATTTTTATAGCGCCTTTTATGTTACAAGGATGTCCCAAGGAGCTGGTCAGTGTACAGCATTTCAGACCCGAGCTGGGGTCAGGGAGGGAGAAGGGAGGAGAGGGGAAGGGGTTTGACCGATAGCATGGTCCAAGAGGAGGGTTTTTAGGCGGGACTTGAAGGAGGGGGCGAGGCGGAGTGATTGGGGGATGGAATTCCAGAGGTTGGGGGCAGAGTGGCTGAAGGCTCTCAAGCCAATAGTAGGGCGGGTGGGTCGGGGGACGAGGAGCAGGCCAGAGCCGGCTGAGCGGAGGGAGCATTTGGGTTGGTAGGGGATTAGGAGTTTGCAGAGGTAGGATGGTCGAGGCCATGGAGGGCTTTGTAGGTGAGGACCAGGATCTTGAACTGGATCCTCTGAAGGATGGAGAGCCAATGGAGTCGGGTGAGAATGGGGGAGATGGAGTCGCAGAGTTTGGTGCGGGAGAGGACACGGGCTGCAGAGTTCTGGATTATCTGCAGCCCGTGGAAGGAGGAGTTGGGAAGGCCGACAAGCAGGGCATTTGTATAGTCAAGCCTGGAAGTGATGAAGGCATGAACAAGAGTTTCAGCGGCCTGAGGGGTGAGGTAGTGGCCGAGTCAGATGATGTTACGGAGTTGAGGGAAGGCAGAGCGGGTCATGGCTTGAATGTGGGAGAGAAAAGACAGTTGAGGGTTGAACAAGTCACCGAGGTTCCTGACTGACTTGGTGAGTTGTAGTGTGCAACCATGGAGGTTGATGCTGCCAGAGCCTGAGGTGCTGAGGCGCTGGCGCGAGCCAACCAGGAGGGCCTCAGTCTTGTTCACATTCAACTGTAGGAAATTTGCCCTCATCCAGGACTTGATGTCCGACAGACAGTCTGTCAGGACAGCAGTGGTCCTGGAGTTGAGGGTGAAGGCAGAAAGATAGAGTTGGGTGTCATCTGCATACATATGGAAGTTGACCCCATGTCTGCGGATGATGTCACCATTGGGGAACATGTAGATATTAATGAGGAGAGGGCCAAGGACAGAGCTCTGGGGGACGCCAGACATGACAGTGCGGGGGCTGGAGGAGAAACCGTTAGAGACAACAAAGTGGAGATAGTGAGAGATAGGATTCGATCCAGGCGACGGCAGGTCCGCGAAGGTTAAGTAAAGAGGAGAGGCGGTGTAGGAGGATAGAATGGTCGACAGTGTCGAAGGCAGAAGAGAGGTCGAGGAGGTCAAGGAGGCAGTGGGAGCCCTGATCGCAGATGTTCAGGATGTCATTCGTGAATTTGACCAGGGTTGTTTCCATGCTGTGGGCAGCGCGGAAGCTCGATTTGAAGGGTTCAAAGAGGGAATGGCGAGAAAGAAAGGAGCGGAGCTCGGACGCAACGACTCGTTCCAGGACCTTGGAGAGGAATGGGAGGTTAGAGATGGGGCGATAGCTGGAGAGGAGGGATGGGTCCAGGGGAGGTTTTTTCAGGATGGGGGTGATGACGGCTGTTTTTAGGGGGTGGGAACTGAACCGGTGGACAAGGAGAGGTTGATGACATCGGACAGGAGAGGGGCCAGAAGTTGGAGCTGGGAGATGAAGAGAGAGGTGGGGATGGGATCGAGGGAGCAGGTGGTGTGTTTAAGTTTGCAAACGATGGCAGTGGGAGAGGAGGGATTGAGTTGTAGGAGTATAGGGGGGGATGGGTGGGAGGTGGCTCATGAGGGAGAGGTGATGTGGGGGTGGCAGGGGACAGGGCAGAGGTGGCTGAACGTATTCCCTTGATTTTGGATTCGAAGAAGTCCAGCATCTCCTCCTGGCGTTTGAGGAGAGGATGGGCGAGGCATCAATAGACTATGTCGTAAACTCTGTGATAGACTGCATGATAGACTGTGTGATAGACTGCACAACAAACTGTGTGATAGATTGCACTACACACTGTGCGAGTGGCTGCACAAGAAAAGACCGAGCCACCCTCCCCCATCCCAATCCCCAGCTCGACAAGAGAGGGGTAAGCACTCCACTTACTTTCATGACTTCTGCTTCCCAGAAGCTCTCGCAATCTTATTCTTTTTTCTTCACAAATCATCCAACTTGGTCACTTCTACCAACAGTCCACTCTACACTTAACTTCCTTCAGGTTGCCTACTCAGTGGACTCAACCTTCATCGCTCTGCATTGGTTAAATGACAACACCTTGATCGCTTTCATGTCCTTCTTTACAACAATGAAAATCTTATTTCTTTCAATTCTTGGGGGACACATTTTCTTCCTTTCGCTGGTCAGTCTAAATCAACAGCTATTACTTCTTTATTCGATTGAAAACAATATTCCTGCATAATTTATCATGAATTTTACAAATCATATCTCTAACTCTTCCCCATGGTAATAGGCAGATTGTACGCAACAGGTCTCGGGAAGGTTATGTGGATGGGTATGTATACAGACATTAAATGATTAACTGTAACCCTGTATGAACTGGAACCATAGAAATTTACAGCACACAAGGTCATTTGGCCCATCGTGTCTATGCTGGCATTCTTTCAGTCCCATTTATCTTTACGCAGCTTAACATGAACTTTAAATTATATATTGTGGGTGCATTGGCAATTTTGTTAATGCAATCCCAAATCATGTTTCTCAGAAGCAATTTTCAGGAATGTTGAAAGTTTGTTACCATTTCTTGGAAATGTTTGGTAATAGCGCCCGGAATTCAAGCTAGTCTTAGCCCGTAAAACCATCTTAATAATAATCCTTGTGTTTAATACAGCACTTTATCGGGTCTCAACACCTCAAATCGCTTCACAGAGCTTTCCGTGAAGTGCAGCGACTGTGTATCACAGTAGCAGGAAAATGTTATTTTATCTTAATACTTGAGATTGCAGAGATTTGCGTGAACCCACTCAACAACTGTCTTAATATGGAAGATTTCGAGACGCTTCAGATTCGGGTCAAGTGTCAGGACTTTCCACCACCACCACCACCACCACCACGCGGGCGGGCGGGCGGGCGGGGGGGCGCAATCTTAAAACGTCAAGACAGAACAGCGTCGGGGAGTCGGGGTAAAGACTGGGCTGATTGTGCGGAGCAGGAGATTCCCAGCCTCTCCCCTTCTCTGTAAGGAACGCCAAAGGAATCAGTCAGTGAGTGAGTCAGTGCTGACTGAAGGGAAGAGGCAGCTTGTGGGGGGAGGGGGTTGGGTTGGGGGGGGTTGGAGGTTGGGTGGGGGGGGGTGGAGGTTGGGTGGGGGAGAGGGTTGGGTGGGGGGAGTTGGAGGTTGGGGGGGGGGGTTGGGGGGGGTTGGAGGTTGGGTTGGGGGGTGGAGGTTGGGTTAGAGGTTGGGTGGGGGGGGGGGTTGGAGGTTGGGTTAGAGGTTGGGTTGGAGGTTGGGTGGGGGGGGGTGGAGGTTGGGGTGGAGGTTGGGTGGGGGGGGTTGGGTTGGGCGTGTTGGTTGGTGTCGGTGTCCAACCCCACGTGTTGGTGGGTGTCTCAGCTCATAGCTGTGTGCCATCCCTGAGCTTCCGTGCGATCATTCCTCCTCCTCCTCCTCCTCCAACAGCAGCAGCAGCAGAGGCTCTGCACATACATCACATCATTCCCCACAGCCCCGACCTCCCGACCTGCAGCTGCTGCAGCATCATCATCACCATCATCATCATTATTATTATTATTATTTTGGAGGGAGGTGGGGAGTGGGGGGATCCTGTTGTTGTTGTTGTTGTTGTTGCCCGCCCCTCACCTTGTTTACCGAGAGAGGCTCTCACAATGGCAACGCCGACAGAAACTTCTGGTGGCCGCGGCTCGGCATTGTCCGGGGAGGAAAGGGACCGTCAGCTCTTCTAGAACCGGATTTGATCTGTTGCTGAAATCCCCTCCAACCCCTCACCCCCTCCCTCCCCGGCCCCCCCCTCCCCCCCGGCCCGGCCCCCCGGCCCCTGGTCCCGGCCCCCCGGCCCCGTGCCCATGTAGAGGCAGCCCAGCCCGGCCCGGGGTACGGTGGGTGGGGACCAGCCATGCTGAAGCTCACCGCCTTTCAGACCCATTACTGGCCGCTGGTGAGGTTCCTGGTCCCTCTGGCCATCACCAACATCGCCGTGGATCTCGGGGAGCAGGTGAGTGAGGGGCCGGACTTCATCTCTCTCTCCTCTCCTCTCTCTCTCTCTCTCTCCATCCTCAGGGCGGGGGGAGGGGGGGGGGAGGGGGTGAGGGGGGCATTCATTTTTTTAAAAAAATATCTGATCAATCAATGTGTGTGTATGGATATATATATATATATCTTTGAAATTGCTTCTTGAGCTCTGGGTGGGGGCTGTGTGGGGGGTTGTGGTGGGGGGGGTGTGTGGGTGTGGGGGGGTGTGGGGGGGTGGTGTGTGTGGAGGGGGGTGGTGTGTCTGTGGTGTGGTGGGTGTGGGGGGGGTGTGGGGGGGGTGGTGTGTGGGTGGGGTGGTGTGTGTGGGGGGGGTGGTGTGGTGTGTGTGGGTGGGTGTGGGGGGGTGTTGTGGGTGGGGGGTGGTGTGTGTGGGTGTGTGTGGGGGGGTGTGTGGGGGGGTGTTTGTGTGGGGGGGTTGTGTGTCGTGTGTGTGGGGTGTGGGGGGTGTGTGTGTGGGGGGGTGGTGTGTGTGGTGTGTGTGTGGGGGGGGGGGGTGTGGTGCCCCCCCCCCCCATGTTGCTGATGGTGTATGAGGGGCTGCGGTGTCGACCATCAGAGACCTGACATTGTAGCAATGACACACACACACACACACAGAGGCTGTGGGGGGCTCTGCGAACCGTGTAACCCATCCACAACCACCACTACCACGGGAGGGGGGGAGATGAGAGGTGGGGGGAGGGGGGGAGATGGGAGGGGGAGGGGGAGATAGGAGGGGAGGGGGAGATAGGAGGGGGGAGATGAGAGGGGAGGGGGGGGAGGGGGGGAGGGGGGGCTGGGGGTCTCGGTGTCCCTGTCGGTGTGCCCCCGCTCGGGGCTGAGAGCAGCGATGGCCCCGGAGTCGCGGCTTTACCTGGACATGAATTTGTAAACCCAAACCCCCCCCCAACCAGAGCCCCGGTCTCTGCTTCACTGCCTGTGATGGGGTTCTCAGTGCTTCTGAAACCCCGTGAGGTTGAGGTCTTCAAATGGGAGGGGGGGGGGGGCAGTGTGGGGGGGAGTGGGGGGCAGTGTGTGTGGGGGGCAGTGTGGGGGGAGGGATTGGGGAGGTGTGGGGTGGCAGTGTGTGGGGGGAGTTGGGGGGCAGTGGGGGGGGAGGGAGTGTGGGGTGGGGTGAGTGTGGGGGGGGAGTGGGGGGGGCAGTGTGGGGGGGAGTGGGGGGGAGTGGGGGGGGGGGGTGGGGGGAGGAGTGGGGGGAGGGGGGGGGGGGGGGGGTGTGGGGGGGGGGGGGGGGGGGGGGGTGGGGGGAGGGGTGGGGGGGGAGTGTGGGGGGGGGTGTGGGGGGGGGGTGTGGGGTGGGGCAGTGTGGGGGGGAGGGGGGGGAGTGTGGGGGGGGGGTGGGGGGGGGGTGTGGGGGGGGGCAGTGTGGGGGGGGGGAGTGTGGGGGAGTTGGGGGGGGGCAGTGTGGGGGGGGGGAGTGGGGTGGGGGGAGTGTGGGGGGGGGAGTGTGGGGGGAGGGAGTGGGGGGGCAGTTGTGGGGGGGCAGTGTGTGGGGAGGGAGTGGGGGCAGTGTGGGGGGCAGTGTGTGGGGGGAGTGGGAGGGCAGTGTGGGGGGCAGTGGGGGGGCAGTGTGTGTGGGAGGGGGGCAGTGTGGGGGGGGGCAGTGTGTGGGGGAGGAGGGGGGGGCAGTGTGGGGGGAGGGAGTGGGGGGGCAGTGTGGGGGGAGTGGGGCAGTGTGGGGGAGGGAGTGGGGGCAGTGTGGGGGAGGGAGTGGGGGGCAGTGTGGGGGGAGGGAGTGGGGGCAGTGTGGGGGGGGGAGTGGGGGGGCAGTGTGGGGGGGAGGGGAGTGGGGGGGCAGTGTGGGGGAGGGAGTGGGGGGCAGTGTGGGGGGGCAGTGTGTGGGAGGGAGTGGGGGGCAGTGTGGGGGGGGCAGTGTGTGTGGGAGGAGTGGGGGGGCAGTGTGGGGGGCAGTGGTGTGGGAGGGAGTGGGGGGGCAGTGTGGGGGAGGGAGTGGGGGAGGGAGTGGGGGGGCAGTGTGGGGGGCAGTGTGGGGGGAGGGAGTGGGGGGCAGTGTGGGGGGGAGGGAGTGTGGGGGCAGTGTGGGGGGGAGGGAGTGGGGGCAGTGTGTGTGGGAGGGAGTGGGGGGCAGTGTGGGGGGAGGGAGTGGGGGGCAGTGTGTGTGGGAGGGAGTGGGGGGCAGTGTGGGGGGAGGGAGTGGGGGCAGTGTGGGGGGAGGGAGTGGGGGGCAGTGTGGGGGGAGGGAGTGGGGGGGCAGTGTGGGGGGAGGGAGTGGGGGCAGTGTGGGGGGAGGGAGTGTGGGGGGAGGAGTGTGGTGGGGAGGGAGTGGGGGGACAGTGTGGGGGGGGCAGTGTGTGTGGGAGGGAGTGGGGGGGCAGTGTGTGTGGGAGGGAGTGGGGGGGCAGTGTGGGGGGAGGGTGTGGGGGGGAGGGAGTGGGGGGGCAGTGTGTGTGGGAGGGAGTGGGGGGGCAGTGTGGGGGGGAGGGAGTGGGGGGGCAGTGTGTGGGGGGAAAGTGTTTTGCAGGTTTAAATGTTATAATCAGGTACCCGCTCGTGTAGGACAAGAGAAAGCCGCCCAATTGGGCGTGAAGTGAAGGGGCCACTGTCAGTCTGTGGTGCGGCTGAGGTGGGACTTCAGCTCTTGTCAGATTGGGCGGCTTCACGTCCAACTGGGGCGGGTTTCTGTGTAACTGCATGTGTGTGTAAAAAAAAATCATTTGGACCTGCAAAAAAGGCCCCCCTTTCCCTCCCCCTGAAGACCTTTTCTCACATAATTTATTTTAAAAAAAACTTAACTAAATTGACCACTCTGCTCCCCACAGCAGGCAACGCATCACATTGGGCTACTTTGGGGAGGGGAGGGCTTTGGGGGGAGGGGAGGGGGTTGGAATTTTTGGTTGACTTTGGGCTACAAACGTATATTAATGTCTGGCCGCCCTTGTTGCTCTATCGCTGGGTTTCTGGGAGGTTTGGATGGGGATATAGCTGAAGGCTGCTGATCGCCCGCAGGTCCAATCTGTGACACAGCATTCCAGTTCCCAGCCTGGAATCTCACACGTTACACACAATTCCTGACCTCCGTCTCAGCCTGCTTTACATCTGTGCAGACCTTTCCTGTGTGCTCTCTCCGCCTATTGATTATACTGTATTACACCATTCTCTCAGGGTTGAGCTGTCCTGCAGATATCTATACTCCCTGGTTTTGCAGTCTCGCCTGCTCATGGCTGGTCTGTGTTCTCTCGACTTTCGATTCAGTTCCCAGGCAAAACGACAGCTTCTTAGGAGAATTAGGTTAACAGCACTTATGATCTCTGCCCCCAGATACTTTGCCTGTGCGCACCCATCACTGAATCCTGCAGGGTCTGTTTGTTTATCGAAAGTGAAATTTGTTTCAGGCTATCAAGGTTGGTATAGGTCTCCTCCAATGGCTGGATAAGTTTATTCTATGCTGAGCCACACAGGAAAACATCCCTTGTCTCAAGTTGGCTGGCGCAAGGAGCACTGCCATTGATCAGGGTTAAAGAAATCAAAATTAGCCAGGTTTTTTTCCTGCTACCAAGTGCATTCCTGACTCCTACTTTCACGCAGCCTGTAAACAAACATTTGATTCACAGACAGATAATGACAACTTGAGTGAAATATTCCCTGGTACTTGTGCAACTATTTCCAAATAAAGAGAGGGGATGTCGAAAAAATCTTTTTGGAATGCCAAGAGGGAAATAAATTAGAGAAAAATAATTTAAGTATAGAACGAGCACAATCCATAGGTTGTAATAAATGAGGAATGCTTTTGATATTTGTACTATATAACGTTAGTTCTGATTTTGACAATCTTTCCCCCCCCCTTAAAATGCCTGAAAGTCACCATTGCAGAAATCTGGCCGACTCCAGCAGTCACCATGCTTCTTCGTCAGGTTTAGAACGAAGATAATAAATTTCACATATCAGTTTACCCACAAACCATACCATATGGTATCCCTGAGGCTAAAGGGGAAAGTCTCAAATGTGAGACCCAAAATAAATAGTGTTCCAAGGGAACAGGATTGATTCCTGAAACAACTTGTTGTGATTTCAATAAACCTTTTATTGGGCAAGGATATCACAGCAGATAAACAAATTGTGAACTTTCCGTTGAGTTCTGTAGCTTAGTGGTTAGAGCATTCGCCTCGCAAGCAAGAGGACCTCGGTTTGATTTCCTGCAGGGTGAAATGTTGGGCAAGTTTCCTTACTCCACACGCCTCTATTCACCTAGCATTAAGTAGGAATACGGTTGTTAGTCGATTGGTAGTTTGCTTTACCAGGAGTAATAATACCTTAAAAAAAAATCAATAATAAAAAAAATAAAAAATGTGGTCACTCAGACCACGACTGTTTGTGGGACACTGCTGTGCGCAATCATCTGCTGTGTTTCGCCCACAAAATATACAGCCAATTCACTTTACAGTACATTCTGTGAAGCACTTTGAGATGTCTCGAAGATGTAATAAGGTGCTATATCAATTGCAAGGATTATTATTATTTTCCTTGTTGGTGGCAACGCTTTAGGTAAATAATAATTATAATAACCCTTGCATTTGTTATATCATATCATCAACATATCAAGCGCTTCACGGGATGTAGTGTAAAGTGAAAGGTGATCACAGGTGATGGTCACTATTAGATGTTGAAAATAAAGTGTAGGAATCTTGCGAGAAATCGCATGGGTAAATAAACCAATTGTATCCTGCTTAAAATTGTTACCATGTTACTACAGTGTTTACACAATATGCTACAAAGTTACACTTGTATATAACAACAACAACAAATTGCATTAACATTGTACCTTTCACGTCGGGTGGATGTCCCAAAGCAGTGGACAGTGAGGGGGGGTAGAGCCATGAAGATGGAGCTGAGAGGAGAGGCAATGGAGAAGAATAGCGTGGTCAACACTGTCAAAGGCAGCAGAAAGAAGGATAAGAAGACAAAGAGTGCCCTAGGTCACAAATAGACAGAACGTCATTTCCA